GCCCAACATGACGGCCCAATAAACAAATTCGTGGTCCCATAGAGTTGTAGAAAATAAAATATTTTTTTTTTGGAACTTTAACAAGTCTTGAACGAATTTGAATTTGACTTATATTTTTTTAAACCAGTTTGAGTTGTTTAACTAACGAATTTGAATTTAACTTATATTTTTTTTTCTAAACAAGGTTGAGCTCGGCAGCTGGCTTTGTTTAACAATTATAATTGTCTCCAAGTATTATAATTGGATATATAAAAAAAATTCTTTTAATAAGACTTGTTATGATAAATGAATGGTACTGAAGTCATGTGTTGATCATATATAATAAATTTGTTATATGATGGGGCAATGTTTAATAAAATATAAAATTAAACTATCAAAATAATCCTATATTATTACATTATTATGTAAATTATATATTTTATAACTTAATTTTTCAAGTTTTATATCTTTTGATATTGATCTCTAAACTAATAAAGATACACCGTGTTTTTTTCATTCACTTATTAGCTACGGACTATATATAACTAACCATGAAGGGTAAATAATAAAATAAATACAATAGGGGAAGATGCTACGTCCCGTTACGGAACCATTCCGACGGGTTTGTAACTGTTAGATCATCATGTAACCGTTGTAGATAGTTGATATAACGGTTACAACTCCTAATAGAATGGTTTCGTAACGGGACCGTAGCATTTTTTACAATATGATCTAATAAAAAGTTGCCAACAACTATGTTGAAATATTTAGAGTTAACTACTTTAATTTCATTTATAGGCTATAAAATAGTGCCATGCATTGATGCATAATTTCTCTGCGTACGTTCATAACACAATTATCTATATATATATTAAAGCAGAGCAGCTGGAATTTTCCCGCTCAAACCTGCTGCATTAATTACAGTATTAATGGTAAGATAATTTACTTTCACATTATTTGAGATATTGTCTTAACATTTATTGTACTGTAGTTTAATTAACTTTAATCTTTATATATTAATTACAATCTTAGGAATTTGTGAATACACATTAAAACAATATATGCAAAAAAAGTTTGTTACAAATAAATGTTTAAATGTTATTCTTAATTGTGCATTTGAAAAGTGCACTTCAATTTTCATGGATAAATAATTGGCTTCAACTTTATCTATTAC